TGAGATCATGACGTGAGCCGAAGCCGGACGCTCAACCGACTGAGGCACCCAGGTGCCCCCCCCAGATTTTGATCTTTGCACTGAGATTGTGAAAGACAATGACCTGAGTTTTAAAAACACACACTGAAATATTTAGTGATAATGGTGCTTGATACCTGTAACCTATGATTTAGACACGATGTTACTGGCAAGTTAAAGGGAAAAGACAGTATGACCAAACCTGATGAATCAGTAAGTTTATAAGGGAAAGCCCACTAGGAAGTTCAAGTATATATAGAGAAATCAACAGGGAAGGGCAACAGTTCAATACCGTCAAGAAAATTACCTGTTTTAGCTATCAAGCCAGAATTCTACACTTTTATAGCACTTGTATGCAAACTACATTCCAGAGAAATTAAATATCAAAATGTTAAAGTATGGAACAACCTGTACAAGTCAAGACAGATAGACTGATAAAACTATAAAAAGCTACTATAAATCAGTAAGAAAAAAAGAATCACAGAATATAATGCCTAATACATTTTTGGATGAATTAATGAACCAAGAGGTAAATCTGAATTGTCTGACTTGGAAAGACAACCGGGTCATACCGATGAAGGAAAAAAGATCTAGCATGTTTGGAACAACCCCATTAATAGACTACATGTTTATATTAAAATTTAAAAATATCGACACTTGCAGAGAGCCCGGCAGCCTTCCCCAAAATAGGGAGTTATCACATAGCTAGTTGAGAGGCAATAAACGGGTCAGAAGAACCCAGGGTCCCGATTCAAAGCTCACAGTCCATTCTACCTTGCCACTTAATGCATCAACAGCAACACATTAGTGGAAGTGAAAGCCTCTCCCCAGAACAGACTTCATTATGGCTTACTCCATTAGAGTAAAAGATCCAAAGAGTGTGTCAAATGTCAACAAGGTGTAGTCGTAGAAAATAGGGATCAGAGAAGCAAAAGGGATCACTGTGCACCTAGTCTTGACGTGAGGGAACATGAATAAGCAGCACTCTTATATTACGCAGGTGGTGGTTGGTAGGAGGAATATTTCAAACTGGGACTTAGGTGAGACATGCTCTTTAGCCAGCCTGGATCCCCACTTTCTCAATCGTGGACATTGTTGTTTTAATTTAGATGGCATTGCTTAAGACAAAGATCCCATGGAGGTAATTGGATAAAAGAGCATAGGGCTGAGTGCCAGACACACCGTAGAGTTCACGAAATGCTGGTTGTACCAATTTTTGGCTGCATGACCTTAGTCAATCATGCAGGTCTGGACCTCAGATCCTTCAGAGAATTGGGGTAACAGTAAGTTACCCATCTAGGCCTCTAATGAAGATTACGTGGGCATGGAAACATCGGGAATGTGCTCAGCAAATATTTCATGTATTATCTGTAGCTTTTGTCCACCAGTTCCACCATACGAATATCCTTTCCCTTCCTTTTTATTCCCCCAGGAACAGCCAGGGGACGTGATGACCTCTCCCCTCCCCCAATGCTGATGTGAGGCAAGGGGCAGAGCATTAAGACAGGAACTAAAAACACGGCAGAAAGGTGAAGGGCCCTTTCCCCTTTCCTGTTGCACAGAATCGACCTTGATTTGAAGGCAGATATGGCTGGTCTCTTATTCAGCTGGGATAAACCAGTTGTCAGGAGGTACAATCCCAGGTCCTCCCATTTGCCTAGTGGACTCGGAGGCCGGGACACTCCTAGTTCCAGCTGTGATTCAGCAGAGAAGTGATTAAGAACAAGGGTTTGGAGTCTGAGACCTGTTTCCTCCTTTCTGTGCTAACCTATAAAATGGAGCAAGTATTAATTTTATGGTGGCCCTATGAGGTTTTATGCATGAAGAGTAGTTAACACATAGCCTATCACACATAAATCCTCAGTGAGTGGCAATTATCATCAACCTCTTCAGACTGGATCAGGGCAGGGTAACAGTGAGAACGGAGTGTCAAGAGGCTCAAAATTTTAACTCGGGTTTTTAGTGCTAACTGTGGAAACTCAGATGGGTTTTTATACCCATCTACCCCTCCTAGGCTCACTGTGAGAACAAGAGAATACCAGTGGGGGCAATACGAAACTGACTGGTCCTCTCAGGTCACCCACTCCATCACTGGAGGATTTGAGGTTTATTTAAGACTGTCAAATTTAAAAATGTAACCCTGCAGGGACCTTACCGCAGAGATTTAGACTGGTGGTCTGCAGGGGTGGCTCCCTGCCCCCCCCCCACCCTGCCCCTTTCTACAACACATAGTTTGAATTCCTCTCTTATCAGATAGGTAATCGCCGTGCAGCCCCACTGAGCTGGCCTCACAGGGCCAGCATCAGAAAGGAGCCTGAAATTCTTGCTACCACCCCCACCCCACCCCCAACCACACACAAAGCAGGGCCCCGCCCCTCTCCCCATCCCCTCCAAAAAAGAAAAGGCCTGGGGTGGGGGGGGAGGGGCAAAGCTTGAGCTCCCCCAATAGAGCCCAGCCCCAGGAAACAAAGAGTTGACACTGGTTGGTTCTGGTGGTCAGATTCCTGGAGTTCCAGAGGCTGTAGCTTCCCCGGCTCCCCCGACTCCCCCCTACCCCACATTCATCAGTTCCTTCCTCTCCATAATGGGGTTATGGTCACTGAGAGAAATGGATAGAGACACCTTTCTTCCAGTCAAGCCTGCTGGGTCGGCCAAAGTCACCGCCAGCAGGCATCCTCACTTCTCCCTGCCCTGCCATCCCAGGCTTCCAGGGATAGAAGGACACAGGAACCCCTCTATGTTACCTCCGGTCAAATCCTCTATGCGGGAACCCGAATGAGGGCCATTTATTCAGGTAAATTATTTTCAAGGTTGGTGGGGGAAGCAGGTTTCCTTCCTATCTTCCTCACCCAATTTGTTCAAGGCAGGAGGGCAGGCAGCCCACAAGGAGCCCACTCCGCAGGGGAGGATGGCATTTAATCAGACAGGAAACAGTTGCAAGGAGACCTTTCTTTTTTTGGATGGCAGGGAAGGACTTAGGCCAGTTAAATACTTCGACCTTCTGCTTCCTTAATACCTCACCACGGCCTCCACCACCCTTTCCCGTATCAGATACTCCATCCAGCATCGACCGCTGGCTTCAGCAGCAGTTGATACGAAGGAGCTTAGGGAACATGGTGTTGTGAAAAGCACACAGGAACCGGAGTTTCCCACAACTTGCTCTGTGGAAGTCAGACACATGCTGGTTCTTTAATCATTTGCAAAAGCAGGGGATCAGACTTCATGATAACCAGCCCCAACATTGCCCGGTTTTAGTCACATTGCTCCTTTCTACAGAAGTGGCAGGCAGAATTTGGGGGAAACTTGCTTTGGTCCCAGCGATCAAAGGTTGCACTCCCGGTTTTTCTGCATCACTCAGGCCCATTCCAGCTCCAGACTGTCGAGTGAGTGTCTATCCACTCAGTTCCAAGTGCCTAGCCATACACAAATATTTGTGGAATAAACCAAGTTGTCCACCGCCCCAAACTGCTGATATTCATCTAAGCTTACTATAGGCTAAGGAGAGCTCTAAGCACATCACATGTTGTAATGCATTGAACCTTCATATCAAGTCTGTCAGATAGGCCTCATTATGACCCCATATTACAGCTGAAGTCATGGAAGCAGAGAAGTAAAGCGTTCTCCAAATTCAGTGCACTGATTGCCATCAGCCTGACCCTACAGCCAGTGCTATGCAGTATAATGCAAGTCATATTTGTAAATAAACATGTTAGATGTAGATATTAAAACTTTCTGATAGCCACATAGAAGTAAAGGAAGCAGATGGAAGAAATGACTCAGTCCCGAATTGTCCCCATAGTCCTACCTGGGCTTCATTCCTGAAGGTAGGGTTTGGTAGGGGCTAGGAAACCAACCGGTTCTACCAGAAGCAGTTTATTTGATGATATGTCAGGGAGGGTTGAGGAAAGAGATCTGTCTGGAACCAAAGGCTGCCAGCAGAGACAACCCCCACCAGTCACCTCTGCTCAGACACAGCCAGGACTACCAGTTACTGCCTGGAGTTCTCCACCAGATGGTGCTGCTCATCACCTGTCAGCATAAAGGCAGCCAGAGGGAGACTGGAGAGGAGAGTTGCTTGGTTTTGAACTGTGAACCAGAGATTTATCTCCCCAGCTTCTTAGGGCAGGCATCCTCGGTCCTCAGGAAGCAGTTAAGGGGACTGAACTTTCAAGGATAGGGCGCTGACTTCTCACCAGGTCCCCACCCACTCAAAGGGTGCAGAAGAAAGCGTCCTGGAGTTTTAAAGCCAGAAACCCAATTGTTCTTATGTTCTCTGCCGTTTACAAAAGCCACTAACTCTTCTTGGACTTTGATTTCCCGTCTGAATTAATTTAACTCCAAGCTGAGATAATTTGAAATGAATCTGTACAAATTTCATACTGTTCCTGAAAATTCTCTCTTCCTCTCCCATACCTCCTGACCCCAGACTTAATATAGATAGTAATTGTTGCTCCAGCTTGCAGGAAGAAGGGAGGGGTGGTGGTTTTGCCTAGAGCAGTTTCCCCCAAATATAACAGGGAATTCTAGTAGGGTGAGGACCTGGTGATAGTTTGGTTAGGAATGTTCAAGAAACAACCCTGCCCTGGGGAAAGTCACCAAAAAACCACTTCCGGGGCAAGGCAGTGTCACCAGCTAAAAAGGTTCCAAGTTTCTTCTATTGAAAACTTGCTCAGGATGGTGGCACAGCCTTTACTCGGGCCACAGTCAAGAAAGCATGGCTTTTCGGAAAGACAAGGACCCAAGAAGATTCCATAATGCTCAAACTCTACCAACTTTCTGAAAATCAAAATGATTCACTTACTTTAGTCTGATTTCTTTCCTATTAAGGTGAAAATGAAAAACTAACAAATCACCACCAAACCTGTGGCTTCACGTCCATAAGCAAAAATTAGAGAGTCCTATCTGGGTCTCAACACTTTTGACATTCACTCCAGTTCATGCTGCATGAAGAGCCCAGCCCTATTCTAGACATCAGTTCAGAGAAAGAACAGTAACATTCCCTCCCTTATTATGTCCAGTCTTTCTCTCTGGAGGAAGACCTCTACTGACCAGGACCCCAAACTTGTCCTCCCAATTCAGGAACTCCTTACTTCTTCATATTAGTTCCTTCTGCCCACCAAGTCCATACTAGGAAACTAGACAGCTAGTCCCTTTCTTCAAAGAGCTTATAGGTCAGAGGAGGAGATAAGACCAGCACATCACTGACTAGATATGAGGTGAGTAATCAGAGGCACCAACAAGGTTATAAACCAGGTGGGAAGAAAGCTCCCTCTACATTCTCCCCTCCCCACCCCATCCAGAAATTCCTAATCCAGATCCTGCCTGAGGTCGCTCTGTCCCACTCATCCTTTTCAGAAAAAGCAAGCCACGTGGCTTCAGCTGTTTCCACAGTTTCTCTATTGAAATTTTTTCTCCTGACCAAAACTCGGTCCCTCGGTCAGATTTGGGATCTTCTTTTGCCTCCAGGCCTTCCAATACAGTATTTTAGCTGGAAAGCCATTTTAAACATATTTGGATTCTGAGCAGCTGTAGAAGCAGGGAGGAATTTTCTTGTTTTCAAATTTCTACAAGTCTTGGGGGTTTGGGAGTTGAGCCACAGGAAACATGAGTTAAACCAAAACTCTTAAAATGGCTATTAAGATTTCAAAATTCTTAGTGAATCTTAGGAAAATAGTTTAGTGCTTTCTTGCACCTCCGTTCCCTGTAGAACTGCGTTTCTCAATTGAGGGGGGTTTTGCCTCCCAGGGGGCATTTGGCAATGTCTGGAGACATTTTGGGTTGTCACAACCGAGGGATGCTCTGAACAAAGAGTTATCCTTCTCAGAATATGTCAACAGTGTTGAGGTTGAGAAACCTCGGTTTAAGGGCTGGCCATCTGCCAATATTAGGATTCATAAACTCACCTAACCCTGGGGACAAGCAGAGAGTTCTAGATCTGAAAATCTGTGTCTGAATAAAAGGATTGTTTAGAGAAATCTCTTCACCTTTTTCTTTTTTTCCCCTTTAAGGCGAAGGGCAAGTTTTCTTTCCTACTTATCCACTGCTGGGGGTGCATAATGCATTTGAGAAAGAAGAGTGTGTCGGGAACCAAATAAGCCCAGCCTTGGAAAGGAAAATGTTAAATTGCTTTCCCCCCTTCTTCCTCTTTTCTTAGAAAGGGGCTTCCCGATCCTCCCTCCTGGCAGATGTTTATCTTAGGACAATTATCCTTCTCACCACATCAGGCTCCGAGGTACCCACCACCAGCAGCCAAAGGAGGGGAGGTTTTCTTGCTGAAGAGAGTGCCTTACCCCCCATGCACACACTGGGAACATTTTCCTTCCCTAGAAAAATTTTTAGGGATCATCCTTCATCTACTGAATTCTTCTCCAGTAGAGCCCCCAAGAGATATTTCACATTCCTCAAGTGCAGGGATTGTGATCACCAGTCTAACCGCTACCATAGAGTTTTGAGATCACCCCAAGCTCTGGCCGCTTGCTCCATAGGCTCAGGGAACTTCCAGTCATTGTCCTTCTAGAACTGTTTCGTGGAGGGTGTTAGGGGACTAAATTCTCAAGTCCTTATCCCAGCCCCACTCCCTCTTGATAACTTATTCCACTGTGGAATGTCCTTGGACATTCCAAGATCCCCAAGTCCAGGTTATCTCCCAGCTAACCCATCTGAAGGAGCATGGCACAGGCTCCCCTCCCCAAAACCTGAAGGTCCCTGCTTTCCTCTATGCCACCCAATATTTTCCACTTGCTTTTGATCCTAAGGTTAAGTGGACTGAGGCACAGATTCATTTGTTCGGGAACACCTTCCTTGGGATTTGGATATCACCAAGGAAACCCAGATGATGAGGGGCTACATTCCTCCCAGATCCTATTCAGCAGCCTTTGGAAGGGAGGCAACAAAATTTGGGGTCTCTTTTACTCCAAGCCTCCCAAAGTTGGGGAAGCTGTCCAGTCCGTCTCCAGACCAAGAGATTTTAATCTCTTTGTGATCAGATAAATGGAAGAGTGGGAGAGCTGGCTACCCCGCTGAGGAGGGCCATTCAAAGCTGGTTCCTGTAATAAAGTGATTTAATAGATCTAAAGAGGCCAATTCCCTGCATTCTCCCACAATTACTTCCTGAGGGTTATCATTCACATATGTAAATGAGACAGGGAGGGGGGCAAAGCCACTAGTCAGAACTAGTTGTCTGATGGGGGGGGGGGGCGTTAAGACTGGGGGGGAGGTCGAGGACACAGCAAGGAGGTGGCTAAGCATCCTGCTGTATACCCTCCCAGCAGATGTTCGAGTAGTCCAGTGACTCCAAGGTACCCAACATTAAGTGCCTCCCTGCATCCCATATCTCCCTTGTTTCCCCCCACTCTGTGTCCTCATTGAAGGCCATGCTCGGGGGACTTCCCTGCTGCCTCGGACCAGTCCACCCAGGATCTCCCTTCTTCACCCCTCCCCCTCCAGAATACCATCCCTCAGGCTCCAACCCTTAATCCCCACATCCTCCTTTCCCCTCCCCCTCAGCTCCTAAAGCCTACTTCCCTGAAGTAACCCCTCCCTGCCCGGCCTGGGTGTCAACCTACTGGACCTGAGATCATCAATTTCTCCTTCCCAGGTCCAACATGAAACCTCCAAAGGTGGAAGGGACACCAGCAGCAACTTCCTTTATGTGGTTGTTATGGGTGGCTGGTGTCCCAGGACCTCTGGGACACTTCTAAGATATTTAGGAGAGGGTGAGAGGAAGAGGCAGCCAGGGAGGAGGGAAACCTGAAGTCTCTGGCTCCTTGTTCGAGGCCGGAATGTTAGGACAGCAATCAATGGCTGTCTGGGGCCATAAATGCCAAGCAGAGAATAGGTCCAGAGGCTAGCCTCCCTCCACCCCCTGCCCTGCGACACTGAATTTCACCCCCACTGGGCTGCCTTGCTTTAACTGAGAACTTGGGGTTGTGACCTAACTCCCTCCCAGCCTGGACCAGGAGTCTAAGGCCTGGGCTCCTTAGGTTTTCCTTCCTGGAAGAAGTGGACGGCAAAAGCCCAGTAGGTGAACTGTGTGCCAGAGGCGGGTACTCTGAAGAGGTTTCAGGCCCCCAAACAGATTCTTCAAGGATCTGCCAAACTCACTCAGGCCTCAGGGCTTTAGTTTTGGGTGACCACCTGGGTGCTGGAACCTAGCTGACTTTTCAGCTTTACCCCTGTTTGATCCTAGAGTGGTTTGCCTGCCTCTCTCCCGCCAGGGAGCTCCATTCACATGTTAGTGAAAGACGCTGGGCGCTCAGGGCCCTGCTCAGAACCGGCATGTGCTTCCCTGGCCGGCCTGCTGGCCCTCCCCCCACCGGCAAGCACAATACAACCTTAGTTTCTGCCACATGGGGTCACCTCCCTGCCCCCTGCCCCCTTCCCAGGGGAAAGAGGTAAGAGACACGTGGTAAGCCAGAGGGGTTCCGGGAAGGGGGTGGGCGTGCTGATAATCGGCTCTGCCCGCCCCCCATCCCGTTGGAATTAATGGGGACTCAGAACTGGGGTGCCAGCGCACAATGAGATCCCACGGTTTCCCTCAATCCAACAGCCGAGTCCGTCCGCCCCAACCTTGAATATGCGCGCCAACATCCCCTTCCCCCGGCAAAGTTGCCAGAATCGGTCTCACCTGGTGCACAAAGACATCCACTGGGGGGTCAAGCGCGACCCCGGCGCGGGCGGTCATGGACAGGAAGCCGAACCCCATGCGCACGTTGAACCACTTACAGATGCCGGCACCGTGCAGCAGCTGCGGCTCCTCGGCCGCCCGGGCGGCGTCCTCCGGCGCCTCCTCCGGCGCCTTGGCGCAGCCACCTGGAGGTTGGGAGGGCGCTCAACTGGGGGGGCCACGGAATCGGGAGGGCCCTCTCGAGACCCAGCAGGGAGACCCGAGTGTCCAGCCCACGGGTGTGCACCCAGGTGGCTGTAGCTACCAAGAAGCTGGCAAGGAAAGACCTGTCCTGGCCGCCTCCCGCGCTCCCCAAGCTTCCACTGAAGCCAGTGTTGCCCCAAAAGTTTTGCTCCTCTTCCCACAACATGTTGCCCGGGGATAGCTGGCCGGACAGGCCCCTCCTCTTCTGTCCGCCCGCCCCCGTAGCCTCGGCGTGCACGCCGCTGGGACACCAGGGTTCCTTGCTCCAGAAATGGCCCCTGAAGCAGGAGGCCGCACAGACTTAGGGTCCTTCGGCCAGGCTGGGGGACATTTCCCAACCTCCCTTTTATGTGGATCCTGGGCGCCCCTGAAGCCTAAGGTGTCCCCAGTAAGTCCCGAGCTCGAACCTGCGAACTGCTGGTTTGACACAGAGCCCATGGTAGTCGGCTGAGCCCGCGGCCCCGGGCCCCTGGTCGGGTGGCTGCTGGCCCCAGAGAAGTCCGGAGGCAAAGGGGTGGCTCGGAGAAGAGGCTGCTACATCTTCCCCAGCACAATAGCGGTGGGAGGGCCCACGGCTTTTCAAAGGCTCCCAAATTCTAAAAGACAATGACCCAACCCCCCGCGGGCAGCCCCCTCCCCTCCCCTCCCCTCCCTCTTCTTTCCCCTCCCTTTCCTTCTG